TGAAAAACTATACTCCAACAAATTTGAAAACCTAGAAGAAATGGATAAATTTCTATAAACACACTACCTACCCAGACTAACACAAAGTGATGTTGAAAATCTAAACAGACCCGTTGCAAGAGAAGAGATTGAAAAGGTAAGTAAAAAAAACTCCCGACCAAAAAAGGCCCTGGCCCAGATGGCTTCACTGGAGAATTCGACCAAATGTTCAGAGAAGAGCTTATACCAGTACTACTCAAACTATTTCAGAATACAGAAAAGGAAGCACTTCCGAATTCGTTCTGTGAAACCAGCATAACCCTGATACCAAAACCAGGCAAAGACACCACAAAAAAGGAAATTACAGACCAATATCTCTCATGAAGATAGATGCAAACATTCTCAACAAAATTCTAGCCAATAGAATTCAGCATCATATCAAAAAAATAATACACTACAACCAAGTAGGAATCATACCAGATATGCAAGGATGGTTCAACATTAGAAAATCAATCAGCGTAATCCAACACATAAATAAAAGGAAAGAAAAGAATCACATGATCATCTCAGTCGAAGCAGAAAGGCATTCAACAAAGTCCAACACCCATTCCTGATAAAAACTCTCAATAAAATAGGTATAGCAGGGAAATTTCTCAGCATAATAGAGGGCATCTATGCAAAACCAGTGGTCAACATCATTCTTAATGGAGAGAGGCTGAAAACATTCCCCTTGAGAACAGGAACAAGACAAGGATGCCCTTTATCACCACTCCTATTTAACATTGTGCTGGAAGTCCTAGCTAGAGCAATAAGGCAAGAAAAGAAATAAAGGGCATCCAAATTGGTAATGAAGAAGTTAAACTGTCCCCGTTTGTGGATGATATGATACCATACATAGAAAACCCTAAACACTCCACAAGAAAACTACTGGAACTAATAGATTCAGCAGAGTAGCAGGATACAAGATAAACATTCAAAAATCAGTTGGATTCTTATATACCAATAAAAAGAATGATGAAAAGGAAATCAGGAAAACAATACCATTTATAATAGCCCCTAAAAAAATAAAATACTTAGGAATAAATCTAACCAGGGATGTAAAAGACCTACAGAAAGAAAACTACAAAACACTACCGCAAGAAACCCAAAGGGATCTACATAAATGGAAAAATATACCATCTCATGGATAGGTAGACTTAACATTAGAAAATGACAATTCTACCCAAAGCAGTTTACAAATACAATGCAATCCCAATCCAGATACCAACAACATTCTTTAAAGAGATAGAAAAACTAATCATTAACTTTATATGGAAAGGGAAGAAGCCCCTGGTAAGTAAAGCACTATTGAAGAAGAAGAATAAAGTAGGAGGACTCACACTACCTGACCTCAAAACCTACTATACAGCTACGGTAGTCAAAACAGCCTGGTACTGGTACAACGACAGATACATTGACCAGTGGAACAGAGTTGAGAACCCAGATGTAAATCCATCCACCTATGATCACCTGATCTTCGACAAGGGCCCAAAGTCCATCAAATTGGAAACAGACAATCTTTTTAACAAATGGTGCTGGCAAAACTGGATGTCCATTTTCAAAAAAAAGAAACAGGACCCATACCTCACACCATATACAAAAACTAAGTCAAAGTGGATCAAAGACCTAAATATAGATCCAAAAACTATGAAGTTCGTAGAATAAAAATAGGATCAACACTAGAGGCCCTAATATATGGCATTAACAGGATACAGACCATAACCAACAGCACACAAACTCCAGAAGATAGGCTAGATAACTGGCATCTTCTAAAAATTAAACACTGATGCTCATCAAAAGACTTCACCAAGAGTAAAAAGAGAACCTACAGACTGGGAAAAAAATTTTTGGACATTACAAGTCAGACAAAGGTCTAATCTTAAAATCTACAAGAAAATCCAGCACCTCTACTGCAAAAAGACAAATAATCCAATTAAAAGATGGGCAAAGGTAATGAACAGCCAGTTCACCAAAGAAGACATTAAAGTGGCTAAGAGACACATGAGGAAATGCTTGCAATCAGTAGCGATTAGAGAAATGCAAATCAAAACCGCAATGAGATACCATCTCACCCCAGCATTACTGGCACGAATCAAAAACACTGGAAATAACAGATGTTGGAGAGGCTGCGGGGAGATCAGAACTCTTATGCACTGCTGGTGGGAATCCAAAATGATACAACCATTTTGGAAAATGATAAGGTGCTTCCTTAGAAAGCTAGTGATAGAAATACTATACGATCCAGCAATCCTATTCCTAGGAATATATCCTAGAGAAATAAGAGCTGTCACATGAATAGACTATGCACAGCCATGTTCATTGCAGCATTGTTCACAATAGCAAAAAGATGGAAACAACCTAGATGCCTATCAACAGATGAATGGATAAACAAACTATGGAACGTACACACTGTGGGATATTACGCAACAATAAAGAAGAATGATGAATCTGTGAAGCATCTCATAACATGGATGAAACTGGAGGACATTATGCTGAGTGAAATAAGTGAATCACAAAAGACAAATATTGTATGAGACCTGTACTGTAAAAACTCATGAAAAACTTTACACACAAAAAGAAACAATCTTTGTTGGTTATAAGGGATGGGAGGGGTAGAGTGGGGAACTAGACAATAGATAAGTGGTAACTTTGGTGAAGGGTAAGACAGTACAGAATACTGGGGAAGCCAGCACAACTTGTACAAGGAAAGGTCATGGAAGCTCCATAGATACATCCAAACTCCCTGAGGGACTGAATTGCTGGGCAGAGGGCTATGGGGACCATGATCCTGGGGAACATCTTGCTCAATTGTCATGACAGTTTATAAAGATAATGTTCTACATTCTACCTTGGTGAGTAGCATCTGGGGTCTTAAAAGCTTGTGAGCAGCCATCTAAGATACTCCACTGGTCTCGGTCTCGCCCATTTGGGAGCAAGGGAGAATGAAGAAAACAAGATACAAGGAAAAGATTAGTCCAGAGGACTAATGGACCACAACTACCACGGCCTCCACTAGACTGAGTCCGGTACAACTACATGGTGCCTGGCTCCGACCACTGACTGCTGTAACAGGGATCACAACAGAGGGTCCCAGACAGTGCTGGAGAAAAATGTAGAACAAAATTCTAACTGATAAAAAAAGACCAGACTTACTGGCCTGACAAACTGGAGAAACCCCGAGAGTATGGCCCCCGGACACCCTTTTAGCTCAGTAATGAACTCACTCCCAGTGTTCACCATTCAGCCAAAGATTAGACAGCCCCATAAAACTAGACTAATGAGGCACAGCGGTCCAGGGACAAGGACTAGAAGGCAGGAGGGGACAGGAAAGCTGGTAATAGGGAACCCACGTTTGAAAATGGACAGTGTTGACATGTCTGGGGTTGTTAACCATTGTTATAAAACTATATGTGTACTAACTGTTTAATGAGAAACTGTTCTGTAAACCTTCATCTAAAGTCCAATTAAAAAACATATAGATATATAAGCCTGGAGTTGAACTGTCTTTCATGCATATTTTGTGTGTCTTAGTTGATCAATGTCTCCCATAGTAATAACCAAATATAAAAATATGTCCTCGGGAAATATAAATTAATTTACATACTGCTTAGCCCATATTTCTTGAATTGTTATTTTGTATTTAAATCTTATGACTGACAACCTTGAGTTTAAATGGTAGTTTTGGGTATAATAGGGAAAAAAGATTTCTCTTAAAAATTTTAATAAGAATTTAAACACAGCAAATCCAGTTTTTTATTCTGTATTTTCCTGGTTTTAAAGGTATGTATACCTAAAGTGGAAAAAGCTGTTTGAATACAGCTTTCTTCCCATTGACTGTTGTGCATGAACCTAGAAGATCCGTCTTGTAAATACCGATTCAGATTTCAGATACATCTCTAATAGGTTCTAGCTTATCACTACTTCTGTTTCTTCTTCTTGCATGTGCACCATCAAAATACGTGAACAGATTTTGAAACCTTTGATAGTGCATCATTTTGTTGAGGTCCCCAGGTGGCACAAATGGCTAAGTGCTCGACTACTAGCTGAAAGGTTGGTGGTTGAAACCCACCCAGAGGTGCCTCAGAAGATAGGCCTAGGAAAAAAAGAGATTCTTGCTGGTGATTCATAAAGGAATTAGAATGAAGAGGAAAAGAAGATATTTTATTTATTTACTTATGATGTATAAAAATTAAGTATTATACAATTTAAGTGTTCTTTTTCCAGCTAAACCTAGCACATCCAGCACAACTTATCAGTGCCAGTTTGACTTGCTAGGCATTTGGTTTGGGCTGAGAGGCCACAAAAATAGATAAAGCAAAATCTTTACCCTTAGTGAGCTTATTGGCTAGTAAGAAGAGATTAGGACTCAAATAAAGCTAATATAAGGGAGCGTGTTCTAAGTTCTTCAGTTGTTCTTATTTAAAAAGTGAATACAAAAGAGCAACAGAGAAAGGAGGTATCAATTTGCTCGATGTTCGTAAAACTAAAATATTTGAAAATGGTCATTATGAATTTTTTATTTTTCAGTTGCCCTCGAGTCAGTTCTGACTTATGGTGACCTCGTGTGTGATCCATAGAATTTTTAATGGCTGATTTTTCAGAAGTAGATCAACAGACCTTTCTTCTGAGGCACCTCTGGGTGAACTCAAACCTCCAGCCTTTTGGTTAGCAGCTGAGTGTGTTAACCATTTGCATTACCCAGGGACCTCCATTATGAATTAGAAAGTGAAAAAACAAACAAAAAACTTGTGAAGATATAAAGAAGTCTAAAAAATCACAGAAACTAATAACTAATATACTTGTGGCTAGCAGAAATTCCTGAGATGCCTGGAAAAAAGAAAAGACAGTCACTCTCTGCCCATAGTGTTTTTGTTTGCAGGAAAAACCTGACTTGAAGTCAACGTTTTTCTGAATCTTTACTTACTTGAGGTTTGTTTGTTTAATGTGCTAACAATAATAAAAAATGCTTTCTCTTTTTCTAGGAGAGCATATAGATTACTGTGGATATGCTGTTCTTCCTATGGCTGTAGAACAAGATATGCTAATAGCCGTGGAACCTGTGAAAACACAGACTATCCGACTGATCAATACAAACCCCTTGTACCCGTGAGTATTTAGGATCGCTACTATAAGGAGGAGCCCTGGTGGCACAACAGTTTAGCTCTCAGCTGTTAGCTGAAAGATTGGCAGTTTGAACCCCTCCAGTGGCTCTGCAGGAGAAAGACCTGGCGATCTGCTCCCGTAAAGGTTATGGCCTAGAAAATGCTATGGGGCAGTTCTGCTCTGTCACAGGTGGTCTCTATGAGTCAAAATCAACTCGATGGCACCTAACAACACCACCTATATGTATATTTGTGTTTTGTGTGTGTTTGGTGTTATGTTTGTACCCAAATGAACTCTTTAGGAGACATTTATTTATATTATTTAATTAACTGGAAATTTATACCTGATTTTGAAAAGAATCTAAGGTAATTATTTAATGTTTGTTTACACATGGGGTTGTCATGAGTTCGAATTGATTCGACAGCAACTTTTTTGTTGTTGTTTATTTATTTATTCAAGAAAGATGAACAAAGATGAAAATAACTCTGTCCTTGCCTACAAGGTATTTAGCATCTATTGAGGTAACTATCTCCAGGAAATTCAGGTCAGGTGCTTTTCCTATGTTGCTAGACACTCTGTAATTCTCTTTCACAGCATCTTACCTTGCTGTTTTATCGTTATCTGGTTATTTTATCTGAATGCTATAGTGTATTGTAAACTCTGTGACTTTGGTACTGTTGCCTGTCTTCTTCAATGCTCTAGCCTCAGTGTTGAGCATATAGTCTGGTACATTATTGATGTAAGTTTCTGGTACATATGCTTTATCAAGTTAAGGAAGTTTTTTTTTTTTTAATAGTTTGCTAAGATTAAAAATATTCATAATGGGTATTGAATTTTATTAAATGTCTTTTTAATATCGAAGATTAGGTTTTTTTAAAAAATGGTGACTTACTTTGATGAATTTTCTAATGTTTAACCATCTTTGCATTCCAGGAAATCTTACTTTCTTATAATATATTATGATGGATTTGATTAAAAAAAGATTTTGGTATAAAGTTGGCATATTTTTATATTTTTGGCTCATAGTTTATTGGATAGTTTGCCTGCAGTACTGTTCATTCTTTCAGCAAAAATTTTATGAGTGCCTTTAATCAGGCACTATATCAGGTTGTGCAAGATACAGATTTGCCCTGCTATCCAAAAGTAGAGCGTTCCCCTGAAACCTTTTGTAAGCTGAAATGACGACGTAAAGTGAAGAAGCAATTACCATTAATTTATATGGGAAAATTCTTTTGTGAGTGTTCTCAGACCCAAAAAATAACCTACCAAATCATCTTAGGCTTTTCTGATACCTTAGGACACATCTTTCTAAAGGATGCACAAAATAAATTGAGATGAAGCACAGATGCTCACAGACACAGTTCAAAGCTATGGCGGCTTGATGCTGAGATGCCGAGTGTAGTTCCGGGGAAGGAGCTTGGCAAGGACACTCTCACTGCTCGGGGTGGGCACTGCCTCTTTAATGGCTCGCTGCAAAACAAATGCAGAATGCTGTTTCCACTTTTTACCCTTTTTCATAAAAGCAAAAATCCTCTTTGGATTTCTTTCCTTTAGCAAAAACAGGTACTAACGTAGGTCTTTTGTAAAAGCAAAGTGGCATAAAGCGAAGTTTCAAAAAGTAAAGGACACCTCTATAGAAGTTCCTTACTTTTATGTCAAACTTATTGTATAAATTATTATTTTTTCTGTTCATTTTGCATGGTTGAGAATATATCTTATGTACCTTTTGTACTCTTTAAAGAAAACTTTACATTGCCTTGAGCACATTTTTCTGTCATTGTAAACATTTAAAAATGGTTGCATGATACTTTGTCATACTGATTTACTCAGATTCACTTAACCATTGCCACAGTGATGAATATGGTCTCAGTTTCATTTACCACAAAAGCAGAACCTGAGACAGATTGAAATGAGACAGATTGAAATGATCCCAGGAAGAAGTACAGAGGAAACATGCAGAATGAGTTGGGGAAGCAGAAGTGAATTACCAAGATCCCTTCTGTCGGCAAGGGGCTTATTTCCACCAGGCCCCCTAGGAGTGTGCAGCATTCCTCCCAGAATTGTCCACATCATGGGTAGTATTCCTTTGCGTGGATATACCACAACTGTTTTTATTTATTCACTTGTTGATGGACATTTGGGTTATTTCCAGTTTTTGACTGTTACAAAAATGCTGCTGTGAATATTCGTATATATACATATCCATGTGTGGGCATATGTTTCATTTCTCTTGGGTAAATACTTATAAGTGGAATTTCTGGGTCATATGGTGCATGTATGTTTACCTTTCTAAGATACTGCCTGTTTTCCAAAGTGGTTGTACCATTTTACATTCCCACCAGCAGTGTGGAGCCCTGGTGTTGTAGTGGTTAAGAGCTTGGGGGCTAACCAAAGGTTGACAGTTCAAATCTACCAGCTGCTCCTTGGAAACCCTATGGGGCAGTTCTGCTCTGTCCTATAGGATCGCTATGAGTCGGAATTGCCTTGATGGCGCTTAATGAGAACAACAGCCAGCAGTGTATGAGAATTCCAGTGGCACCACATCTTTGCTAATTTTAGTCATTCTCATAAATGTGAGTAGTATCCCATTGTGGTTGTTTTCATTTGTCCAACATCTTTTCATGTACTTATTTGCCATCGTTATATCTTCTATGTTGAAAGGTCTATTCAAATCTTTTTAGCATTTTAAAATCGGATTGTTTGTCTTCTATTATTAGGCTGGAATAGTTCCTTGTATAGTCTAGATGTAAATCAGATGTATGTTTTGCAAATATTTTTTTCCAGTCTGAGGTTTACTTTTCATTTTCTTTACAGTGTCTTTTGAAGAGGAAAATTTTTTAATTTTGATGAAGTATGGTTTATTGATTTTTTCTTTAATTGTGCTTTTTGTATTGTATTTAAGAGAAATCTTGACCAAACCCATAGTCACTAAATTTTCTTGTATATTTTCTTCTACAAGTTTTAATTCTTACATTTAGGTGTGTGATCCATTTTTGAGTTAATTTTTGTATATGATATGCGGTAATGGTTGAGATTTATTTTTTTTGCACATGGCTGCCCAGTGTTCTACACCATTTGCTGGAAAGATTATCTTTTCCCACTGAATTGTCTTGGCATCCTTGTTGAAAGTAAATTGACAAAATATTTGTGGACTTTCTGGATACTACTGTGTTCCATTGATCTATTTATCTAACTTTACACCAATATCACACTATCTTGCTAGCTTTATAGTAAGTCTTGAAATCAGATCTAATTTTGTTCATCTTTTTCAAAGTTGTTTTGGCTATTCTAAGTCCTTTGCATTTCTATGTAAATTTTAGAATCATCTGGTCAATTTCTATGAAAAAGCATGCTGGGATTTGAATTTGGATTACATTAAATGTATAGATCAATTTTGGTAGAATTTACATCTTAACAGTAGTGGATCTTCCAATCCATGAACATAGTATATCTCTTCATTTATTTAACCCATAATCATAACCCATTGCTGTAGTTGATTCCGACTCATAGCAACACTATAAGACAGAGTAGAACTGCCCCATAGGGGTTTCAAGGAGCGGCTGGTGGATTCCAACTGCTGACCTTTTGGTTAGCAGCTGAGCTCTTAACCACTGTGCCACCAGGCCTCCTTCATTTATTTAGGTCCTATTAAATTTCTCTTAGTAACAGTGTGGTTTGTAGTTTTCACAGAACATGTCTTGCACATCTTTATGTCAAATTTACCCCTAAGTATTTCATACCTTTTGGTGCTATTGTTATTGTAATGGCCTAGCCCCCTGTATGACACACAGAAGGAACAGTGTTGGAAGGATAAGGGAATGAATGAGTAAATATGTAAGTGGAAACTATCAATGTAGTAAGTTATATTTGCTCATTTTTGGGTCTTTTTTCTCAGCATTCTGCCATATGGGAGCAGGTGTGGAGAAATGTAATGCAGGATTGAGGGTTGGTGGGAAAATGAGTGCCTAATTTTAATCCCCAGGAAAAAGCTGGGTAGAGAGGCAAGACAGGGGTTTCAGAAAGAGCAAACATGAAAAACTAATCAAAGAGCAGTTTTTTTTCTGTGACAGACTTAAGCTATGCCTCTACTTCTGTTGGAGCTGGCACTTACTAGCTTTTTCCTTCATATTTCTCATCAAGCTTCATATTTCTCATCTGTGCAAATTTTCTCCTCTGCTTTTTCTAATATACCACTCCCTTCCCTTCCTAGTTTTCTTTCCCTTGTGGTAACTTTCAAGATCTCTGCTTAGCTTGGAATAAAACCCCGGTGGTTTTGCTAACATAGTGTCTTAGTTTTCTAGTGCTGCTATAACAGAAATACTAGTGGATGGCTTTAACAAAGAGAAATTTATTTTCTCACAGTTTAGTAGGCTAGAAGTCCAAATTCAGGATGTTAGCTCCAGGGGAAAGCTTTCTTTCTCTGTTGACTCTGGAGGAAGGTCTTTCTCATCAATTTTCCCCTGGACTAGGAGCTTCTCCACGCAGGAGCCCCAGGTCCAAAGGATGTGCTCTGCTCCCGGCACTGCTTTCTTGGTGGTATGAGGTCCCCCTGTCTCTCTGTTCGCTTCTCTCTTTTATACCTCAAAAGAGATTAGCTCAAGACACAATCCAATCTTGTAGATTGAGTCCTGCCTCATTAACATAACTGCTGCCTATCTCACCTCATTAACATCATAGAGGTAGGGTTTGCAACACATAGGAAAATCACATCAGATGACAAAATGGTGGACAATAACATAATACTGGGTATCAGGGCCTAGCCAAACTGATACACATAGCTATATCTGCTTTCCAAATCCTGTGACTCCTTGTTGATTATGAGTGCCGTATTTTAACTTTTGTGGGTGATGGTAAAGCGCTTGTGGGCTGGAGTCAGGTTGTGTGTGTCCCTGGAAAGTTGCTAAACCTCCAAGCCTGCAGGAAGGCCATCCCCTGTCCACACAGTGCTAATTACAGAAATGATACGTTCTTGGCCTCGTATCACACCCTGTGTTACACACCACTGCATGACAGTACTATCTGTTAGTGTTCATATTATCTCTGCTAGATTACAAACACTTAAAAGACGAGCTCCGTGCCTTTTACCTTTGTTTTCCCCTGAACCTTGCACACTTAGGTGGTCATTAAATATTTGTTGATCAAGACAGTGTATCCATGTTATTAAATTAAGCTGATGCATAAAAAGCACCTACTACAGTGACTGGCACAGAGTAGGTGCTCAATATGTTGTATGGAGAACACTCAGATAATTGGGGAATATTGCTTCATTTCTGCCCTTATTTAATTGACCCTCCCATCTCAAGATTGCAAGTATTCTGTCCTCTGGCTGATTTAGGAGCCTGTCTGCCTGTGTGTCTATCATCTGTTTTTCATTTTGAAGTATTTTTTGACTTATAAGGAAGTCACAAAAAGTAGTACCAAAAATTCCTACCTACCCTTCTGCTAGATTCTTTAAATTTTAACATCTTACATCTTGACCATAGAACAATGATCAAAATCAGGAAAATGATCTTGCTGTAATACTATTGTCTAATTTGGAGACCTATTCAAATATTGCCAGTTTTCCCCTTAATATAGGTTTTCTAGTCCAGAATTTAATCCAGGTTGCATTTAGTTGTCATGTCTCCTTTAATCTGGGAAAGCTCTTTGGGATTTGTCTTTCATTACCTCGGCAGTTTTAAAGAGTTATTGGTAGGTCGTTTTGTAGAATATCCTTCAATTTGTGTTTACCCAGTGTTTAATCCTCATTAGACTCAGGTTATGCACTTCTGACGAGAATACCACAGAAGTGCTGTGTCCCTACTGCATCATATCAGGAGGCATGTGATAGCCCTGTACTGGTTATGTTACCTTTGGCCATTTGGTTAAGGTGGTATCTGCCAGATTTCTCCACCATAAAGTTGCGATTTTTCCCCTTTGCAATTAATAAGTATCCTGTGGGGAAACACTTTGAGTCTATGCAAATATCTTGTTTTTCATCAGACTTTTACCCACTAATTGATGATTCTTTCCTGAGCTGTTTTCTATTTCCATCATTCCTTCTACGTCTATTAGTTGGCCTTCTGCCATGTGGAAGAGCTTTCCCTTTTCCTTCATTTAGTTTTTTATTCGTTTTTATCATTTTATACTCATGGAATTTTATTCTATTCAATAGGTATATTCCATTGGAATTATTATTCATTTCATTTGTTCCTTTTTCCCCTTAACCTGTGCAGATGGTAAAATTGGATGAGTGGCAGAGAAGAGAGTGTGGAGAAAGATGGCTTTCAGTTCTCCTCTTACAGTTAGGGGTATGCCAGACAGCAGGCCCAGAGGATTAGCATGCATGTGGTGTATACCAGCTTACTGAGGACCAATGAGAAAAAATGGTGGTAGATTATGTTAAAATATATTGGTTCCTCTTTGTTTCAGGACATAAAAAGGGTCAGTTGGTGGTGGTTTAGCCATTAAGGTCACTACAACTTCCTCTCTTACCATTTAGCAGGGGGAGATGTTAGTTGTTTTTGGGTAGATAGCGAAGTATGCATGTTGAAAGTAAATGGAAAAGGAGAGTTCAGTATCACTGTTCCAGCACAAGATGGCAGCAGTCAGCCATTGATTTTTGCAGGACATGGCTTACAGACTTAAATGAATAAGTGATGTCTTTTGTTTTTGCAGAGACTTCAGTACTAGTGTTAATAACATTCAGATCGACAAAACCAAGCCTCAATGGCACAACTACTTCCTATGTGGATTTAAAGGAATTCAGGTAAGTTGGCTTATGAGGCACCTATTATCAGTTGTGATTATGGTGTGTATTATGTCAAATTTATTTTATTTGCTGTATCATTTCTGTCCCCTTTGTTCAATACCAACTGACACTTCTGTCCTGTTTTGCTAATTATATATGTTTCAGGGGATGGAGTAAGTATGGCTGTTTATGGGTTGTGTTCACAGGGGGCAGCAGTGGTCTTTCATAAAAATGGTTGTTCATAAGGCAGGTGCTTCTGACAAACATCTATGTGGTTTTTAAATCTTTGCTCAAATTCTCTTTTGGAGGATATATTCTTGTACTATTGTTTAAATTTTGTTCCAGGGATATATAGGAATATATTGTAGTAGGATTTAGAATCTGAATCCAGGCTCTACCCAGGTATGTTAATTTAATCTCTTAAGTCTCAGATTTGTTATCTGTAAAATGATGACAGTGCTATACCCCATAGAGTTGTTGCACGATTATGCTGTACTGACACATAGTAAGCATTTAATAAATTAAAAGTAAGCATTTAAATAATAACTTACTGTTATTTTTATTTCAGATGTAGTAAATTTATTAGCATAAGTATTTTCTTGGAAACACTGAATAGTTACTTGGAACATCTCTTAATGTATAAGAAGAAGTTGAAATATTTCCACTTTCTCTCATAATTTAAAAAGTTTAAAAGGCAAAAAGAAAATCAACATTTGCCATTTTTTAGAGTCACTGTTATATTTCAGTAATTATTTTAATGTAGTGACTCTTGTGTAGAATCATAGGTGAAGGACAATAAGAGGTAGATTTTGCCTTTTTAAGCCAAAACAAAACAAAACAAAAAAGCCAACCTCGCCCTGTGCTTTAGAGAGCTTGTGTTCCTTACTGCTTGGTGGTCCTAGCTGGTTTTGTCATGAGTATACTGAGACTTAGTAGCATATCCATCACAGAAATGCATCAGATCTAGTTATGTTGTGTAGTCCTGTACTCTAACTGTCATGGTTCTGGTCTGAGAGTACATGTCTGTCTGTCTGTCTTTCTTTCCTGTGTGCTTTAATTTTTTGAGATACATGGCAGTAATAACTTTTGGGAAAAGTTATTGGCAGGTTTTAAATCTTCATGTCATCTGCTTGTCATATGTGTTAGTGGGAATTACAGTATTTGGAAGCATTTTCCTGGCAAATAAAATTTGATTTTCCTATTAACAACATGCTTTTTTTGTATATGGATAAAGTGACCTAAATAATGCATGTTGCTTTGGGTTGTCTTTGAGCATTTTAGATCTTGAAGCCATCCTACTTGACAACTTATGTATAAAAGCAGGTTTGTTCGATGAACTTTTGGCAGAAAAAAATTTAAATGTTGGCCTGTTCGGAAACCTTCTAATTCAAATAGTAGAAAGTTCCAGAGTATAATCTGTTTATACTAAATTGAACATGTTATGCTTTTGGGATAGAGCTATTACAGGATTTGGAAAAACCCATTTGTGTTTTTGAATCTGTTGTATATTTTAATTTAAACATTGCATGATAAGTTTGTAAGGATGATTCATATGCAAGACACCCTGTGGACCAGCTTATGGTTAAATATATAGTATTCTCCAAGCGTTTTTTTTTTTTTTTAACAAGCTGTCTGATGTTCTGCATGAAAGGGCATTGGCAGCAGCAGTGGTTAAGTTTATAATTTGTTTGTATTTTTGGAAAGGAAATTTTTAGATGACTTGAAGTCAAGAAGAGACGCACATCCAACTGACTATCTTCTTTTGTGCTGCGTGAGTTCTGCCAACTAGGAAAATAGGACAGAAAATTAAGGAAAAACATAGAATCTTTCATTCGCAGAGTTCTGTTGTTACTTTGGTTATTCTAACTAGTTTACTGAAATTTCTCCATACAATAATATATATGATGAAATGCATAATTGTGTGATGTAATAATATTTCATACTTTGGTTTGAGTCTTTTGAGTAATTTACAAATACAATGATACTCTTTTTTAAGGACGAGGTGGCCTTGAACTTAATTTTTAATCCTAAACCACAACGGTTAGGATATGGTATCATCGTAGGTGTCTTGATCCTTGATATTCATCTAAGTAGCCTAAGAGCTTTCCATCTTTAAATCACAGTCTGATTCTTTCTTTGGACTTTCCTATTGTAGAAATAGTTTCCCTGTTTTGTTTGGGGTCTGCATTCTCATTTGTAGCTGAATTCTAATTTGACTCTTTTGAAAACTACCATATGGCTAAATTGTATCTATGAACTCTAGTAAAACTCTGGATTTTCTCATATAGCCGACTTGCGTTAAATCACAGTGACAGTATGCTAGCCCAGGTCTGTAACTGCATTGTAGAAGTTCTCAACAGGATTCAGAGACCTGGGCTGTATTTTCAGCTCCCTGTTTATATGAGGTGTGATCTTGGGAAAGTCTCAATCTCCTTGTGCCGAGGTGTTTCCATCAGTAAAGCAGAACTGAGAAAGTTTGGAACTCTTTTCTTCAGAGGACATTCTGAAGAATGGCATTCCATAAAAAAACAAGCCACCGTTTGGGTTAAGGCTTTTATAATAACATATTCTGTGGGATGTGCTTGATAGAGATTTAACCTTTCTCTAGAATAATTGTGTATTTCTTGTGTTAATACTTGAGAAACTGAATTATAATTGTTTTATATTTTTTTCTGTATTTGTTCAAATCGACTGATAATCGTAAAAGAACATTCAAGACATGTTTAGGAAATAGATCAATAGTTTTTTGTTGAACAAAGTAAGAAATAATCTTCAGATTACCTTACCCTATGGCCAAGAGCCATTAAGTAAAATATCATGTTTGAATTGCATACATAGTTTCTATAAATAGTAAAATAAGTCCATCAATAGACTTTAGCTCTGTGGGGAATGAAAGAACATTTCTATTACCTCCTGATCCAACAGTGAATTTACTAGTGCTGTTTCTTCTCTATTCTTAGGAACGCTTCTGTCTTAGTAACCTGACTGGAATGAATTGCCTGGTAGATGGAAACATCCCACCGAGTTCTGGCCTCTCCAGCTCCAGTGCTTTGGTCTGTTGTGCTGGCTTGGTAACACTCACAGCACTGGGAATGAGCCTGTCTAAGGTAACTAACTTTGAATGCAAGCCTCTTTCAACAACCTTTTTATTCAAAGCTGTGAGCATCTAAATCTTGAAGTCACAATGCCTTCCTCTGTAAAACTTTGACTTACCTGCAAGGGCAGCACAAGTGGGCAAGCATTATAATTTCATAAGTCCTGCTTCTGATGAAACCACTCTAAGGTAGGCGATACCCTCCAAACAGTGAGCAGAACTGTGAGTAAGTGTATTAAATTGCCCTTGGATGAAGCGTGGAGTTTGAATGCATGGATATCTTTTCCAATCACCTCATTAACAAGTTAAATTTAGAGCAAGAAATTTTAGGCCTCATAGTTGAGCCTGCTTATTTTCACACAAAACCTTAAATATTTGACAAGCACTGGGTAAGAAGGGTAAAAAGACCAGGCAGTAAAGGAACTGAGCAACATATCTGTTTATGCCAGCAAGTTAGTCACTGAAATAAACTTTTTTTTTTTTTTTTTTAGTATTGCATTACAAAGAGGAAAAGCTTATTTAAAGCAAACATAAATCCTACAGGAGGTCAGAAAGCCTCTATAAGTTCACATAAATCTCTGGCTTTGCAGTCCAGAGTAGGTGTGCTCAGCTTTAATTAATGCTTTAGAGTTCTGTTTTAAATAAAATGCTGTCTGTCATTCATTCTTTTTACCCCATGTACATGCACTACTGAGTTAACAGATGATTTAGAAACACATACTGGGCATTAGGCAGATCAAGATAAAGTCAACCATATGCTTATTTTCTTTTAAGCCTGTTTAAAGTTTCAGTTTCAATATTTTATATGTAGAAGGAAAGGGATAAATGAAGGAGAAAGCAAGGACTCAGAATTCTTCTCTTTAGCTGTCATATGTCAGTATACATTAATTACCCATTTGTGGGCAATGACTTATTTGGGGGAAAGGGTAGCTTACTTATTATTATTTATTTTTTGAAGGGAGAGAAAGCAGGGGAAAGGAAGTCCATATGTCAAATGTGCTTCCCCTAGTCCTGTTTTTAATCTGATGGTTTGTTCATTTGTATGTTGTTTGCTCGTTTGTTCATCTCAACCATTATTTATTTAGTGGCTACTTTGTACCAAGCAATGTTGTAGGCATTGGAGCTATAATATGACCTAAAAGGGGAATTAAAACCTGCTGCCATTGAGTTGATTCTGACTCATGGCGACCCCATGTATAGAGACAAGTAAATAGGCAACTATAATAGAGCTGATAGGTGGGTGAGTATATGATAGAGCTGATAGGTGGGTGAGTATATAATGGAGTTGATAAGTGGGTGAGTTATGTGCTATGGGAGCATATCTAACCCAGATTTAGAGACCATAGGACATGTAAGCTGAGACACCAAGGACTCAAGGATTCATAGATGTTTGTCAAGCAACACTGATAGATTGATAACACCCCATAAGCAAATATCAGGTGGAGGGAATAGCATGTGGAAATGTCTAGAAAGATAAATAAAATGTGGTATATACATATAATCCAATATTACTCAGCCACAAAGAGAAATGAAGTCCTGATACACACTATAACATGAGTGGACCATGAAATCATTACGCTGAGTGAAGTAAGCCAGTCACAAAGGGACAAATATTGTATGATTCCACTTAAATATGAAATATCTATGATAGGCAGTCTATAGATACCAAAGTTTATAAGCGGTTACCGGGGTGGGTGGAAGAGAGGGGAAAAGGAGACTCACTGAGCTTCTATTAAAGGTGATGGGAAAATTTGGAAATGCATAATGGTAATGGTTGAACAACGTGATAAACATAACTAATGCCACTGGATTGTGCACATGAAGAATGTTGAAATGCCAAGTGCCATATATATTTATCACAAAAAAAGAAAAACAAAAGGAGCTCAGCACAGCTGGAGCATACAGTAATTTAGATGACAGGATAGGAGAAGAGATACTGGGCCTCATAAACCATGCTGAAAAATTTAGGCTTCATCCTGACAGCAGTGGGAAACCATTGCAGGGTTTTAGGAAGAGAGTGACATGATCATATCTGCATTTTAGGAAGATCACCCTGGCTGTATTATTAAATTCTGGATTTGAGGTTAACAACATTGGCAGTAGGGAGATGATGTGGGCTAGGGAAGTGGCAGTGAGGATGAAGAGAAGTGTATGATAATTTCAAGGTACATCTCAGGTAGAATCAATAGGACTTAGCCATTGATTGGTTGTGTGGATGGGGAACAGCAAAGAGTCAAAGATTATACCCAGTTCTCTGGCTTGGTGTGATTCTAAGAGTGAGGAATATAGATGGAAAAATAGGTTTGAGGGGAAGCTAAAACATTGAATGTGAGGAATTTGTGGACATACTACTGGAGTTATCTAGTATTTAGTTATAGAAAAATGTCTCTGAAAGTCAGGAGAGTGATCTGGACTTAAGATGATTTATTTGAGAATTGTTAGTATATACATGGTTTTTGAAGCTGTAGGAGTGATGAGAACATCCAGAGGTGGAATGTAGGTGGAAAGATAAGGAAGACTAGGACAGGGCCCTGACAAACATGAACACTTGAGGGATGGGCAGAGGAGGAGATGTCCACTGGAGAGACTCAGGAGTAGTCAGATAGGTATTAGGAAAGCCAGAAAGGTGAGACAACAAAGACAAGGAAAAGAATGTTTTATGAAAGGAGTAGCGGTAGCATCAATGCTGCTGAGAGGTTAAGTGAGACAAGGCCGGAGAAAGATCCATTGGATTTAGCAACCAGGAAGTTTTATAAAACTTTGGTAAGGATAGTTTAAGATAAGAATGGGTTAAAGGGTCTGTGGAGGCAAGAAAGTAGAAAAGCTCAGTTGATACAAAAAGCCTGGCTGTGCATGGGAAAGAGATAATCTGGTGGCTAGAGGGGAGTATGAAGACAAGGTATTAACTTCTTTTTTAGTGGAAAGATAGGTGAATCTTATTTTTTGCGTTTTTTCTGGCCTTGTATGTGGTGTGAATATGTAAGGGAAAAGAGGAAAAAATAAAAAGAAACATTTGAACCTTTAGAATTAATTATGGAGGACTATGTGTTTTCATAGTCAAAAATTGCAAATGTACTTTTATCGGCACTGTCTAACTCCAGGAGCCCTGGTGGTGCAGTGGTTAAGTGCTACAGCTGCTAACCAAAAGGTTGGCAGTTCGAATCCGCCAACTGCTCCTTGGAAACCCTATGGGGCAGTTCTACTCTGTCATATAGAGTTGCTATGAGTTGGAATCGACTTGACAGCAATGGGTTTGGTTTAGTTTTTTTTTTTTTAATCTAACTCTAATGCCTGGAGTTTAAAGGGAACAGTATGTATCTCCTGGCACTCCTGCTAGTCTAAGCTGTGACGATAGTGCTTGTATTTTCTAGGATTGAGCATAGCTATTTGGATAGTCTCTGCTGTAGCGAGACAGACTTCTGGACTAAAAGGAAACGCCTAATTTGCTCAGACTCTGTAATTAAATCCAACTGTATATGTGACTGTTGTAAAAATTTTAGCACAGAAGAATTCTAGGGACTTTAGAGATGAACTAGTTCAAAATCTTCTTTTTATTGATATGTCATTCAGTGTCCTGGTAAGAAACAAATGACACGTAGAGTACAACTTGAAGATGTTTTAATAAAGAAACTCTTCACAGAGCTGTGTGCAGGGTCAAGGGAACCAACTAGGAATAATGAAGCTAAAAGTCGTTATACTTCAGGAGCTGTGGCTGTATGTATAGAGTAAGGTCACCAGAAATGCAATAAGGCAGGGCAAGAGTTGTCCATAGAGGACAGCTTCTTAGGACACAAAAAAGTGTGAGAATGGAGGGGCAAGGGCAGGCAGAAAGTAACCAGCCCATTTGATAAGAAAACTAAGTCCCACAAGAGAGTGGTGACCAATCCCCTTCCGATTATATGTATATTAAGTATAGCTCATTTTAGTTACAGACAGCTACTACTGCAAATGAGGTATGGTAAGTAGATGTGGAACTTGTTAATTCATGAATAAACTAAATGTTGCATGTCTGAAATCAGCAAAATAAGATGGCTAGTGTCTTAGTCATCTAGTGCTGCCGTAATAGAAATACCACAAGTGGATGGTTTTAACGAAGAGAAGTTTATTTCTTCACAGTCAAAGTAGGCTACAAGTCCAAATTCAGGGCGTCACCTCCATGGGAAGGCTTTTTCTCTCTGTCGGCCTTCTTCTCTTCGGTGTTCCCCTGGACTAGGAGCTTCTCTACGCAGGGACCCCGGTCCAAGGGACGCGCTCTGCTCCCAGCACTGCCTTCTTGATGGTATGAGGTCCCCTGTCTCACTGCTCACTTTTGTCTTTTATATCTCAAGACATTGCCTCAGGATACAATCCAATCTTGTAGACTGAGTCCTGCCTTACTAACACAACTGCCACCCATCCTCCCTCATTAACATCATAGAGGCAGGATTTAAAACATATAGGACAACCACACAATACCAGGAATCATGGCCTGGCCAAATTGATACACACATTTTTTGGGAGACATAATTCAAAACATGACAGCCAGTCACCCAGAAACTTTGGAAGCCAGGAATTAGGAATCAAAATGTGACTGTGGAAGAGTATTTGGTGTGATTTAAAAACAAAACAAAACAAAACAAAACCTATGAAGAAGAAAAGGTTAGATAGAGATGTCTGGTTTCAAGATGCCAGAGTAAAGACATATCTACTCTTTCTTTCTATGCCCGTCATTCAACCTTTTTTCTCAGAAATTACTGGGAACAACAGGGAAAACAAACAAAAAACTAAAGCACAAGCTCTATCCTTGATGAATCAAGGAGACGTAAATAACCTCAAACCACAAGATGCAAAGATGGAAAGTAGATGGCAAAATGGTGCCTGACTGAGCAGAGTGGACAAAGGTCAGAGGCAAGTGCCTCTGGAGGGAGATGTAGATGGGAAGCAAGCCAACTCATCCCATGGCTGTCTGGACGGGCTCAGGAATTAGAGGCACTTGGTCCATAGAAGGCAGGGTGATATGATGGGTGGGGATTT